AAAATGTAAGTAACAGTCTGGAAAATTCAGTATTTCCTCTATTTTTTTTAAACAAACTTCCATCTCTAAAATTAGAAAGGGATCTATTTCCAAAACCAAACAGTACTTTTAAGAGCTGTTCATTTACATCAAAGTGTTCATTAAGAGGAAAACTTAACATGAGAAAATACTCAAAAGTATCTTTACAGAACCATAAAACACTCATTATATCTGCTTTTATCACCCAAATAATAGTATTCATAACAAATTTATCATGCAGCTAATTTAACTTGTCTAAGTGAAAATAAGATGCACTATATTTGCAATATCTAGTCTCAAGGGCCACATTTCAATTATTCTTCCTACCCAGCATAATGACATATAATTAAATTGTAATCTTGCCAAGACAATTTTACACATTTCCTGTAAATACACAGATCAAAGCAAACTTATTAGCAGTTAGAGCATCTATCATCCTCCTAAGTCACTAATCACTTTATGGCAGCCCAGATAACCAGCCAATGTATATTTAACATATACTCTACTTACACTGCTACTTTCTCTAGTTTCCATTTTTAACACTGACTAAGCTTTTTACTGAATTTTAATATGACAATTTAGGTTACCAACATAAATGATATCACAAAAAGTGACCCATAATACACCATGAAGTTAAATTTATATCACGGCTCTCAATATTAAATTTCAGTATTAAGCAGACCTTCTACAGGATCCTTAGAAAACAAAAGGTATAAATTGTGACAAAAATAAAGTGTTTAATTTACTGGGAAGACGTGTGCATTGGTTAAAACCATCAATTAGGATATTACAGGGATATAGATTTGACAATTATTCGGGTATTTTTTATAATGTGAACCACTATGTAGACATTTCTTTTTGCTTATCTAGTGAAAAACAATCCTCTAATTGCAAAGAGAACTTCTTTAAATAGTTCTACAGTCAATTCCAACACAATCCTGTGAGATTCACAGAGAAGTCCAACAGTTCCAAGGGATAATTCATACATTCTACACTTCAGTACACATACAGCACAAAAGACAATAAAATACAATGCAGACAAAGCAAGCAAATGTGTATTTTACCATGTACATAGCTTACAGAAGACAACATTTAGAGCACATTACTGTTTAATTCAACATAAACCTCTATTATTAGAGCAGAAAACATTTAATTTAGAAGTTTACCACTTCAAAAAAATCTCTACCCACCTCACAAAATAATGTAAGCTTGTCATCTGGTAGAAGACCATTAGCTTCATCTAGTAAAAAATCTCTTCGGATAAATTTCTTAAAACCCCAGTCCTTGCCTTGCACAAATCGATAGGCTCTTTGGCTTTCTGATAAAAAACAGTGATGTACAAATAGAGCACATTTGTTAAGAAAAATATTAACAAATAACAAGACCCAATTGTAAATCGAGGCTTAGTGTTAATATAAAAATAAAAGGATCAATTTCACACATCTGGATCATGAGTCACATTCCCAGAAAACCCAGAAACGATTAAAATCTTTTTCATATTGTAATAGTGTCGTTTTCTAAAACACTTGCTAGAACTTAGTAGAGCACAATTTGCAATTCAAACCATATCATCTCCTCAGATCTATCTTAGGCAGCATCCTGCAGGAGGAGTTTGTCAGTTAATGTTTAAGAACACCAATGTGTCAAAACAGAAATTGTTCACAGGGAAGCACCATTACAATGAATTTGTCACCGCAAACACATCCTGACAACACTCTGCAGTTGTCACAACAATCTGTTTTGACTTCTTCCTGAAATGGAAAATCTTGTTTCACAGGTTGAAATTAGTTTGAAATACACCAAAAGCATTAAAATAGCAAACCAGAAATAAAACCTTTCAAGTAGCAAACTATTCTTGGGTCATAGAAAGATATTATTTATATTTTTTAAAGCCATCAGATTTGCTGTGACCACACAACTCTTTTTCCAGTTCTAATGCTCACAGCCCACATAAGAGTTCCCACAGTCATCTCAGTGCAAAGACATGTAATTCAGTAAGATCAGATATTTCACGTGGCTGGTTCACTGTGAGGTGACCACTTGTTCCCCAAACTGAACCACAGGAAAGAGAACCATACACTTTTATGTGGAACTAAAACATGGGAAAGAGGTTATTTGGGAATGGCTTCGAGAATATAAGCCAAATAAAGCATATTCTGAATTGCATTTAGAAAGATTGTTCAAAACGAAGAGAGAAAGAATATTTCTAAAATAAGACCAGAGTTAAGGTGGGGGGGAGCTCATGAAGAGTTCTCTAAGACAGAACTTTCCTTTCACTCCAAAAAAAGCCAAGCAAGAAACATATCACCATCTCATTTGCTGTATGGAGAGAAGCTTTAGCTTTCTGGAGAGCAATTTAGACGTTTAAGTCAGAAGTTTGTAATAAAAGCAAAGTATTTCTCATGACAGAATCTGTTGAAACATCA